TTTCTTTTCATTAAACTAGCCATATCCTATTCCTGCAACTGTTCTCCATATGGTTTACCCTCCCTAATCATCCTTGTTGCTCTTTCACATTTACCGTAGGCAAGAAAAACCAAATGCACAGGTATAGTATAAGTCAGAGGTCTTCAAACTTGGCCCTTTCCTTTTTTATGACTTGTGGACTTCAACTCCCAGAATTCCTCAGCCAGGCACACTGGCTGAGGAATTCTGGGAGTTGAAGTCCACAAGTCATAAAAGGGCCAAGTTTGAAGACCCATGGTATAGGTGGTACCTGGCATAATAATAGTAAATGTGAGATGGATAGAAAAGAATAACAGAATTGTAAGGGATCTTGGAGGTCTCTCAAGGGCTGCCATAAAGAAGAGGGAATTAAGCTATTTTCCAAAGCACCTGAAGGCAGGACAAGAAGCAACGGATGGAAACTAATCAAGGAGAGAAGCAACCTAGAACTAAGGAGAAACTTCCTGACAGTGAGAACAATTAATCAGTGGAACAGCTTGCCTCCAGAAGCAGTAAATGCTCCAACAATGGAAGTTTTTAAGAAGAGACTGGACAGCCATTTGTCCGAAATGGTGTAGGGTTTCCTGCCCGAGCAGGGGGTTGGACTAGATGACCTCCAAGGTCCCTTCCAACTCTACTACTATTACTACTCCCTGCTCAGGCAGGAAACCTTATATCATTTCAGACAAATGGCTGTCCAGTCTCTTCTTAAAAACTTCCAGTGTTGTGGAGCATTCACTGCTTCTGGAGGCAGGTTGTTCCACTGGTTAATTGTTCAACTGTCAGGAAATTTCTCCTTAGTTCTAGGTTGCTTCTCTCCTTGATTAATTTCTATCCATTGCTTCTTGTCCTGCCTTCAGGTGCCTTGGAGAATAGCTTGACTCCCTCTTCTTTGGGGCAGCCCCTGAGATATTGGAAGACTGCTATCATGTCCCCCCTCATCCTTCTCTTCATTAAACTAGTCATACCCAATTCCAGCAACCGTTCCTCATGTTTTAGCCTCCAGTCCCCTGATCATCTTTGTTGCTCTTCTCTGTACTTTTTCTAGTCTCAACATCTTTTTTTACATCATAGTGACCAAAACTGGATGCAGTATTCCAAGTGGGGCCTTGGTATTAATACTTTGCATGATCTTGATTCTGTCCCTGTTAATGCAGCCTAAGATTGTGCTGGCTTTTCTGGCAGCTGCAGCAAACTACTGGCTCATATTTAAGTGATTGTCTACTAGGGCTCCAAGATCCCTCTCACAGTTACTACTATTGAGCCAGGTAGAACCTATACCTATACATTTGGTTTTTCTTGCCTAAATAAAACATACATAAATTGCTGAATTTTCCAAGGAGAAGCAGAAGCTGGATCCATCTTTTGACGGGAATGCTCTAATTCTGTACCATTTAATATATATATATTTATATATTATAATCCCGGAAGAATCAGTCACCTGTGAAAGGACTGGCAGACAGACGCAGCAGGTTCTAAGCCGCCTCTCCCTCCTCCTCCCTTTTTGGCCCGCCCCTGTCGTCAGGACGACGCAGCTGCCAATCAAACAGAACCGTTGGCAGAAGGCGGGAAGAAGTAAACGGCCGTTTGTGAGTTCTGACGGCGCGAAGCTCCTGAGAGAAAGGTTTAGAAGGAAGAGACCCAAAGTCCAGATTCCAGAAAAGAGTGAAATTCAAATTAAATTGAATTAAATTCAGGAGAGGCAGCAGCTTAGGAAACCCGGGAGGGAGAGGCGCTTTTTGGCTTCCCTCAAGGACCGGCCTGAGGGGGAAAGTTTCCCTCAGACGAGAGTCAGGAAGAACCAGGCCGAAAAGGCGAAGAAAGATGAATTAAACCGAACAAAACTAGAAAACAGAAACTGAAAAAGATAAAAAAAAAAAAACTAGAGCTCGGTGGGAAAATGAGAGTGACCATTGAGACAGAAGGTCATCATTTAGACGACAGAATTAGAGAAGTCCGCCATAAGCAAATATTTCGGAGATACCGAATGGAAAGGTATGAGAATATAGTGAAACTGGATTTTAAGGAATTTCGTGGAGAGAGGACCTATAGAAAATGGATGGTTATGGTGGAAAATGGTTTGATTAAGATTCATTTTTGAACGAGTAGAAGGCATGTGGTAATTTACAGTTTTATTGGTAAGCTTTTCTTTATTAAAATAATACCAAAATTAGCCAAATGGGCATGTTTTAGGGCTTTTGAGTCCAAGTCACTTTTGATCCCTATATTGGGAGAGCCAAAAAATATCCCACATTGCCTCCCTGAGATTTGCTAAGATTTCCTTCCCATCAAATTGTTTTTCCTCTTCCCTGTGTACGGCAAGAGTGGATTTCTGGGTAGTTATTTGTAGACTTGCACCCTAAATCATTTTGGTGCACACTCCTATATATCTTGCAGGATATAGGATTTCACAGATGGGCATTTATAAATTAAATTTATAAAGATTCTTCTGACTCCTTTGCCAACAATAATGTTTAATCTACAGCGCAAGTCATGTTGGCCTAATCCCTAATGGAAGCTTTACAGACTAAAAAAAAATGTCCTTTCCTCAGATCCAGTAGTTGGGAATTCAAATTCCTAACATCTGCAGACTTCATGGGTATCTTATGAAGCAGCATATAGTATAAGACTAAGTCTTAAGTGCTCTTGCTCTTGCTATCTTCTAATCATATTCTATTTCTATAAAGTTTTTCATCATTAATACACTTTTCATTGGGGAGGGGGGAGAACAAAATCTACAGTTCATGAATCCAGTGGGAAGTGGTCCAAGAATGTTTTCACATCTGAGACAGTTGTGTAATCAAAGCAACTTCTGAGTTTCAAGAGAACAAACAGATATGCTGATCAATTCCCATTAAAATTAAGTGGGTCATTTTCTGTTTTCAATTTCAAAGAAAATGTATTTCTCCCCACCTTTTTAATGTTTGCTTGGACTGCCTCCTGTGCCATAATACACAGTTTATGCTTCAGTGGAATTTTGAGTTAATCCCTGATTTAAATGAACTTTTGGAAGAATTTATAAAATGTATCGCACATGACAATATGCAGGAAAACACCATACTAAAAATAAGCGCAGTTCACTTTACTGAAGATACATTCACACACATTAAATATGGAAGAATTGTAGTGTTTAGAGCTAGAAAACAGTTTTGGTAATTTAGATAGAGTGTTTAGGGATACTGCAATGTAGAAAATCATCCAGAATTGGAATTGAAACTAATTATAATATGGTCAACATTCACAGTATACAGATGTTGAAACCAAGTATCTATTTGCTTGAAACATTCAGCTGGACCATATGTATTCTGAGTTGATATACCAATCAAATGTTAATTACGTGCCACAAGTATGTTGACTCTTAGTGACCACATGGATTTTTTCCAGTAAGATCTGTCTTCAATTTGGCCTTTTAGTTATCTGAAAGGTGCATTCACTGTTGTAAATCAAGTCCATACATCTTGCTGCAGGTTGTTCTCTTTCTACTTTCCCAATTAAAGACTAGGTTATCAAATAGCAACTCTACTTCATTGGGAAAATCTTAATCAACAGATAAAACAGGATTTCCTAATTAAAATAGCATCATTTCTGTCTTGCTTCCAATAAATACATCCTTGCCTTGTCATTTAGTAAAATTTATTTCCCATTGGAAGAATGAAAAATTTCTTGGAAACAGGCTGTATCAGTTGATCCCCCTTTTCAACTTAGCTAACATTTGGAAGGCAACTACAATCCTTTCAATCTTTTATTACAAAGGAAGCTACCATAAATAATTACTATAAATATTAAGAACAAAAAAAAAAAACAAGAATGTATTCTTCATGAACTCCAGCTGGAAAAACAATGTAAGAGCATAACAATTCATCATATGACTGTGATAAAAGCAAAGAACATTTTAAAAAGAAGCTCTATCTCTACAACATACACTTAAAATTGAGTCAGATTAGATTTAGTCTTAAAGAGATCCAATCAGGACTGCGAAACATGTATTTTGTTTGGAACCCAAAACAAACCACTGTGTTTTCCAACTTCTGTCAAACTATTTTGTGTTGGCCATGGTTCAACAGAAACATCTTGGTGGTTCTAGGTTTGGTCTGAAACAAAATTCAAGGGATCCTAGACCAATGTTATGTGCTGAATGCAAGGAGGCTGCGTTCATTATTTTCTCTCTCCCGTGAACAGTTCTCAGCACAGTGTATTCCACATGATCTTCCCTGATTTCTGTCTTTCCCACTTCTAATTCATCATGAACATCTTTTAACTAGAGTTGTTGGCATTTAAAATAAAGAAACCTATTTTATTTATCTAGATTCTAGACTATTTGGTACACCCCTAGGTTAAACTAACTCCATCCAACCAAACAGGGTAGAATCTTCCACTTTTAAGGTTAAAGTTAAAGTTCTAGTCTTAGAAATGCTGCAAAACTGGGCTTTTTCTAGGAATGGTGTCTCTATGTCCTTTTCAATTTTCATACGCATCTTCAGCAGAGATAAGGTAAATAAACCCAAGCAGATATGAGCAGAAGATAGATAATATCCCTGTATTTGACCATGGCAATTCCATCCCAAATCAAGTCATATGCATTTTTTTTGCTTTTTAAAAATTATTTTGTTTGGATAAAAAAAAAGGAAATAAGGCAGGAAGCAGAAGCCTCCCTCCCTTCTTAGTAGCAAGGGGGGAATGGCTGAAATGGCCATGATTATGCAGAACAAATCATCTGTGATTACAAACTGCCAACACACAGTTTGGGACCTACAGATAGCAAGAAAATGCATTTAGGTCTCATTTGCATTTTTATGGTCCATGTGGTAGGCTTGTCTGGACATACATAATTCTTTTTGTTTTCTTTATTTATTTATTTATGAGACTTATATACCGCTTTAAGTGCAAGCACTCTCTAAGCGGTGTACACCAGTAAGCAATGTATGTATATATATTTACATTGCCCCCAACAATCTGGGTCCTCATTTTACCTACCCCGGAAGGATGGAAGGCTGAGTCAACTTTGAGCCGGTGAGATTTGAACCGCTGACCTGCTGAACACAGTCAGCTAAAGTGGCCTGCAGTACTGCACTCTAACTGCTGCGCCACCTCGGCTCTTTTTAAAGTGTTAGTCTCCCAAAATTGTCCTGGAATCACCCAGCCTCTAAATTTAAAAATAATAGAAGGTTGTAGGTATTGTGGGAACAGAGTCAGGATGAAAAAAGTTTTAAAAATCCTTATTTCTGTGACATGGGCAACATTCTTTGCATCTCTTTATCTACAGTCTCCTATTAAACAGAAAGGTGGCAAAATTATTTCACTGTTGCAATAAAACACTTAAAAAGAAACCACAATAAAAAGTATAAATTATATACCTGTAATTACAGAAAACTCTGTAAAAAAATTTACATCACTATAGAAGTTGCAAGACTACAATAAAACTGTAACAAATCTAAGTAACTTTTAAGAGCTTTCAAAGACGCATTGGCTGAGTGAGAGATCCAGTTAGATCAGAAAAAATTGTGTTGACATTTTATTATGAACTGGTGTCCAATTAAGACCAGATCATGAGCAAGCCCCTCCAAAGAGGTTTCAACCCAAGTAGATAAAACCTGCCATATCTGGAGGAAAATTTCAGACTGTTGGATGGTGAAAGTTGCAGGAACAAGAATATAATATTTCAGATTCTTCACCAAAAGGATGTCATTTGAAAAAGTCTGCCAATTACCAGCCATTTGTTTGGCATCATCCTAAGAGATTTTGAATGGATCCCATTTAAGCCTTTTTATTAACATGAGCAGGGTTCAGAAGATCTTTGAAAATTAAGATAAGGAAGTCTATCATAATTCATCAAAGCACATCAAATGTAATGGGGACAAGAAAAGGCAACAGTTGAAGCCACATAGATATTACAGGCCACGTTTGCATAACATCCATGAGTATGGCATTTCTGGCTCCACCCATGAATATCTGTGGAAAGATGAATCCAATTCTTACTCATGTCTTAATTGATATTTCATATCACACATCTGTTGTAACAAGAGCCTTCTAGAGGCCCTTCTGGATGAGATTCCAGGTCAATCACAGAATGTAATTGCCTTCTGCAGTTCTGTTATGGATAGCTTCCAGTTGACTGAGCCCATTCTCCACTACATTGTTTACAATATAAATATTACCAATCATTAAAAAAATGATTGAAGCTGTAGTTATTTATCAATTATAAGCTCAGTTTCCATTCAGATGTTGCCAGAAGAGAGGGCTACAATATTATGTCTCTTGGTTCAGATTATTCACAAACTGCCCCAAATACCAAAAGAGACAATAATCACCGGTTTCCAGACCAAATAAAGGAGATTAAACAATTGTCAGGATACAAAGAGAAATAGGAGGTCTCAAAGTGAGCTGAAGTTTCTCCAACTAAGTCTCCATCTTGGCTGGATGCTGTGTGGGTGGTTTCATGCTGAGTAAGTTGCTCACTATATTTAAACTCCTCGCCACACACTAAGCATTGAAATGGGTTCTCATCAGCATGAGTTCTTTGATGCGAAGTCAACTGATGCCTAAGAGCAAAGCGCTTCCTACACTCCAGACATTCATATGGTTTCTCTCCTGTGTGGATTCTCTGATGCTTATAAAAATTCCCACTCATCCGGAAACTCTTTCCACATTCCATGCATGTGTAAGGTTTTTCTCCTGTGTGAATTGTCTGATGTTTATAAAGGTTCCCTCTCTTGCTGAAGCTCTTCCCACACTCCAAGCATTGATAGGGCTTCTCACCCGTATGGATCCGCTTATGGGCTGTAAGGTTACTGCTCTTGCTGAAGCTCTTCCCACACTCGAGGCATTTATAGGGCTTCTCTCCAGTATGAGTTCTCTGGTGTGTATTTAGACTTCCGCTATTGCTGAAGCGCCTTCCACACTCCATGCATTTGTACGGTTTCTCTCCTGTGTGGATACTTCGATGCTGGGCAAGATGCTGGCTGCGGCTGAAGCACTTTCCGCAGTCAGTGCATTGAAATGGTTTCTCCCCTGTGTGGATGCTTCTGTGTTGAATGAGGTGCTGGCTGCGGCTGAAGCACTTTCCACAGTCCACACATTCATAAGGTTTTTCCCCAGTGTGAGTTCTCTGATGGACTGTCAGGCTGAAGTTCTGTGTGAAGCTCTTTCCACACTCCAAGCACTTATACGACTTTTTCCCCGCATGAGTCCTCTGATGAGAAAGCAGGTGGCTGCTCATACTAAAGCCCTTTCCACATTCTATGCATTTGTAGGGTTTTTCCCCTGTGTATGAACTTGAAAGCAAATTATGATCGAAGTACATCAGAGGGGGCTCCATGAATTTCTTGGTTTTCTGCCCATCACCTGCTGGAGAGAGAGAGAAAAAATAGAAATTTAAAGCAAAAATGGAGAAGATCATTAGAGAAGAATCTTCTTAGTTGCATCTATATTTCTGCATTTCCATGCTCCCTGCAGTTTTTCTGTGTGTTTCTTGTCTATGGAGATTCTCAGTCATCCAGCTCATAGTTATCCCAAAGGTGCAATGGCAGCTAGACTTTCTTGTTTTTCGTTGAAGACATTTCTTCTTGGATGAGAGGCAAAACAAAGTCCAGTTGCCTCGTGAAAAAGCACTTTTGGGAAAGATGTTTCTTGGTTTATTATTTTATTTGTATCCTACACCAGTGGTTCTCAACCTGTGGGTCGGGACCCCATTTGGGGTCGAATGACCATTTCACGGGGGTCGCCAAACCACGCTGTCCGCCATTTTTTCCCTTTTCCCTAGCTGTCCTACTCCCTCTTATTGGTGGCCACACCCACTTGGGGGTCACCACAACATGGGGAACTGTATTATGGGGTCACGGCATTAGAAAGGTTGAGAACCACTGTCCTACACAAACATATAGCTTTGGGCAGCATACAACAGTAGAAAAAAATCATAATGGGAGAATAGCCAGGGATTATTGCATTCACAATCACATCATGAATCAAAAGCCCATTGAAATTGAATATCATTAGAACTAAAGGAGTTCTGAGGCCCTCCATATTTCCAGGGGCCAGCCCATTCCAACATGTGGAGCCTAGTAGTTTTATCTCCTGTGCCCTGAAACAGGGTAGTTTTTGAATATGCTGCCAGTTCAAACAATATTTTTAGGTCCAATTTTCACTTGATTTTAGTACAGATACACTTTTCCCATTTTTTTATGATAATATCATTTTTCAAAATATGATTTAATGAGGAAATGAGTAAGCCTGGGAATAGGGGAGGCGAAACCTGCAATAAAAGGAAGGCCCAATTGGAAAAAGGTTGTCTTCCAGCCACTGGTTTAAATTTGCCCAAAGAAGAATGGTTGGCAAAAAATAGCCGAGATTATTGCAAATCCATATTGCGTGAGAATAAGCTGCTGTAACAGAATGTAAAGTGGATTCAGAATCAGAATAGAGCTGGAAGGGACCTTGGAGGTCTTCTAGTCTAGACCCCTGCTCAAGCAAGAGACCATATACCAATTCAGACAGATGGCTGTCCAGTCTCTTCTTAAAAACCTCCAGCGATGGAGCACCCATGATTTCTGGTGGCAAACTGTTCCACTGGTTAATTGTCCTCACTGTCAGGAAGTTTTTTCTTAATTCCAGGTTGCTTCTGTCTTTGCTCAGTTTCCATCCATTGTTTCTTGTCCTGCCCTCTGATGCTTTGGGAAATAAATTGATCCCCTCCTATTTGTAGCATCCCCTCAAATACGGGAATACTGCTATCATGTCACTCCTAGTCCTTCTTTTTTCTAGACTAGCCAAACCCAAATCTTGCAACTGCTCCTCATCAGTTCCAAACACAAATACACTCACCAACAGCCCAATAAGATAATTGACAAAGATTTACTGTTAATTTTGTAAGACTGAAATCATCCAATACAGAAAACATCTCCATTTTACCAGCTTCCATTCTGCAGATTTTTAGATGCATCAGTCCACATCTGAATTCAGACTTTTGGGTCAAATAATAAATGCATGTTGTAACACTGACCTACATTAATTTGGCAGTGAGGAGTCCTATTCTCCCCAGGTTGCCTGTAAAATTGAGTTGGCCTGTTTCTCCAAGAGAATCTTGGTTTAGAACAGTGGTTCTCAACCTGTGGGTCGGGACCCCATTTGGGGTCGAAGGACCATTTCACGGGGGTTGCCAAACAACACAGTCCGCCATTTTTTCCCCCTTTTCCTTAGCTGGGCTACTCCCTTTTATTCTATTGGCTTTTGAAAGCCAATAGAATAGACTCTTTTGAATAGAGTCTAATTCTATTGGCTTTCAAAAGCCAATAGGAATTGTCCAGGCTGTCTCTGCCCTGCTGAGCCCGCCAAAAGTCCCATTCTGCAAATGGTGCTGCACCAGTTGAGTAGTCCTCGACTTATGACCGGTTGGGGGTTGCGGCATTAAAAAGGTTGAGAACCACTGGTTTAGAAGATGCTTTTTCATGAGGCAACTGGATTTTCTTGTTTTTCTTTGAAGATATTTCACTTTTCATCCAAAAAGCTTCTTCACCTCTGACTGGATGGTGGGGAATGGAAGGATTTATATTCCTTGCAGATAGCTGGTCATTTGCATTGTTTTAGAGCAGGCATGTCAAACAAGGCCCAGGGCCCGGATGCGGCCCGTGAAGTGGTTTCATGTGGCCCGCGAAGCCATCCTGGAAACAGTGAGGGAACGGCCCCCTCTGCCTTGGCCCTGGCCCAGGCCAGCTGGGAACTAATGTACAATTTTGTGGTGGCCATCTATGCTGAAACGCATTCAGTCTTAGCTACATAAGCCCCCCCCCCCCGCATGGCCTGAGAGGAATGGTGAGGCTCCTCCAGTGGACCATATCTTGGCACTTGCCCTGGTCCCACCCCCTTCTGCCAAAAACCCTCAGATCTGTCCCATTCCTGCCCAGGCCCCCACAGACATCCTTGACACGAACGATGTAGAGCTGGTCACGCCCATCCAGTAGGCCACACCCACTCCATCCACACCCACCCAGTAGGCTGCACCCACCCTGGCCACACCCATCCGGCCCCCTGAGGGCAACTGCAATGCTGATGCGGCCCTCAATGAAATTGAGTTTGACACCCCTGCTTTAGAGAGTCCTTGATGCCATCTGGAGGTTTATCTGTGTTGTCTGTCACCTGAGTGGTGCAAATGGGTGTGGAGCTTTCTTGGAACTACTAAAAGGACTGTGTTGTAGACTGAAGATAATGATGTCATATCCCCCCCCTCTGCTGAGAGAGGGCTGTTCAGTTTTGACATAGATGGCCTCTTTGACCCTTCTTTCAAACCAGCAGCCCTCTCTGTCCAAAATGAGGACTTTGCTGTCTTTGAAAGAGTGACCTTTGTCTTTTAAATGCAGATGGACTGCTGAATCTTGTCCTGATGGGTTTGTTCTCTTATGTTGTGCCATGTGTAGCACCACCATCTATTCAGAGCTAAAGAAGCTTCTTGGGTGAGAAGCAAAACATCTTCAAAGAAAAATGAAGTCCAGTTGTCTTGTGAAAAAGCACCTTTGGGACAACTGTGACCTGGATGACTGAGACTCTCCATAGAAACCTTTGTTTAGAGCTACTGCTTTTCAAGCACTTTCCCTCCAATGGAATATTAGTGAATCTTGTGAACTCCTACTCTTGAGCAGACATCACAAATCTCTAAACCACATGAAACTGGAATAAGCATGTGGCAGAACTGCCAATCCAAAGCATGGCACTGCAGGTTCACCTCCTTCCAGTTTGCATAACAGAAAGAGGAAAGAACAGGAGGCTAGATATTGGGATCCATGAATCCCCAGAAAAGGGATATGCCAAATGGATTCTTTAGAGAAAGGGTCCCAAACCCCGGTCTATGGACCGGCACCAATCTGCAGAATGCCAGAAACTGGACTGCGTAAACAAGCTAAGCCCCATCTATAGGATGCAGGCAGCACACAAAACCATGCCCCCTCTGGTCCATAGAAAAACCTCTCCATGGAATTGGTCCCTGAGACCCAAAAGATTGGGGGCCACTGCTTTAAAGATCTGTCAAGGTTAAGGGATCTTTAAAAAAAAAAAAACCCACACAATTCCCACAACTAGGAAAGTATGTCAGAGAAACAGCTCTACCGGAAGGGCAGTCCTTGTGCCATTGATGTGCCAATAAATTAATGCATTTGAGAAGAACAGGCAGAATCATCAGGCAAAACATCGTCCTTCCAAAAGTCCATTTCTCTTGGCAATATTAATCACCATCTGAAAGATTCTTCAGGGCACTTCCCCCCCCCCCCAAACATTGAGTAGATTCCTGCTGATCTCTCACCTTCAGAATTCCAGAAGAATGGATCTTCTCCTTCCAACCAGGAAACTAACTCTGGTTTGGGCAGTTCTTGGAGAAAGCAAGAGAGAATAAATTACTTCTAACTAGAAAGTAGTTTTCTCTTTATCTGAACCCAGAACCCAAACGCTCCCTTACCCAAAGAGGCCACACTCCTAGCATTCTCCAGCATGATTTCCCCATGGAGGGTCCTTTGCTTGGAATCTAGAAGATCCCACTCTTCTTCGGTGAAATACACAGCCACTTCTTCAAAAGAGACGGGACCCTGAAAGAAGAAAAGACCCCCTACTTACAGACAAGTCGGGAAGGATTTACAAGAAATAACCAGTGGGCATTTTCTGCATGGTGTAACGAGAGAATGGACAGAATCCACTACTTATTAGCAACTTAACTGATTTTATAACACTTTCAAGAGCATTTAATGAAACCATCGCACCATCCTTCTGGATCAACTGGCAAGTGAGCTTTCCAAACACCACAATTTCGGGTCTCTAATCCTTGCTGAAAGATGTAAAAATGTTGGGAGCTCCTGTCTGATCTTTAGTCAATGACCTGGGCTGGGGAATCCCAAGGGCCACGTTATCCAAAATCAACAGTGCCATGGAACTGCTGAGAGATCGCATCCAGAATTGAACAAGTTGCCATCAACAATATTGATTAAATTTATATTTTGTCTTTTATTCAGGAACTCAAAGCAGCATATATTCCATTCTCTTCCAACCCTATGAGATAAACCAGTCCAGGAAAAAGTGACTGGTCCAAAGTAACCAAAGCAATTTACATCTCTTTTTTCAGCAAAACCAGCCCCATAGGAAACAATTGGTTCAGTTAATTGATTGGCCCAACAACTGGAACATTTTTTTTAACAACCATTGCAAAAAAAAAAAAGTGGTAAAACTGGATCAGTCACAAGGTTTGCTCTTGTCATGACTTACAACCATTATTAGGCAGGCTCCATTATGGTTGTAAG